TGCTTTTTCCCTGCCATGCTGTCTGTCACTCGTGTGGAATATGGGTTTTGCACACTTGCCAAACAGTTTTGTTGCTTGACGTGGGTTCGCTGGCAGGAGAATTTCCCTCTCTGCATAGTAATGGGCATGTTTGGCTAATGGGCCCTTTGTCTGGGGCCTCCTGCATATTCAGAGCTGCTCCTTTGTCACCAGCCTCACCCAGGCAGCAAATATTACAAGGAATTGTAAATATGTCCTGTTCTCCCTGGGATGCTGAAGCAAGAATCAGCGTTCTGGGATAAACTGGTCCTCTGCTGCTCTCCACCTTCCCACCACTTGTCCAGGCTCTCTTATTCCAGAACAGTTCTGCCCATCGCTGATCTTCAGGCTTTTGAGTCACCTTCCTCCATGGTTTGTGTCCTCTTAGAGCGCATTAATATTGCCATGGGCAGCTCTGGTGATGTGATTTTGGGATGGCACAGGGGATAACGTGGTGTGTGCAGAGCTGGGCTGTTAAACAGCTAAAGAAGGAATTCTGCCCTGTTTGCTGGGGACTGGCAGGTAACATCTCCCCGATTTGTGTAACAAAGTGGTGACAAAGGGAGTAGCAAATCCAGCTGGTCACTTGAAAAGCCAGGAATTTCCATTTCCAAGTGTCTTCAGTGCTGGGGCTGCCTGGTTATTGGTAAGAAAGTGGCTTCGTGTATTTTTTGTAACTGTTCTTTCATGTCTGAGGTATCGATTTGCTTTTTGTTCTATAGCTGCTTCCTACTGACAATATTTATTAAATTGTCTAAAGGTGGGGAGTCACTTTTTATTTTGGAATACTTGGAGAGATTGCTTGGTTCTGCCTGGAATAGCAGCTTTGGGTGGGTAATGAACCAATTTATTGGCAGGGCAGAAATCAATGGCACAAGTACACAGAACTTTTACCAGTTTAATTAGACTATCCAGACTCCCTTTTAAACAGCCCGGTCAAACCAGCACGTGGCAGAAACACAAAACTCCTCATTTAAAAGGATAACGTGGGAGATCGAACTTTTCCATTGTTTGCAGCGAATCCCCTAAAAACAGAAACCCCAAAGCTCGCAGAGCAGCCCAGATGAATAATTCTGCCAGGGAAAACCTGCAAAAAGGGATGTTGGAGCACCATCTAGTGCCTCTTCTCCCAGCAAGATCGGGAATTTTTGAGTTTTCCACTTCATTCAAGGACGTAGGTGGGGACGAGGGAGTGCATTGGCTCCTTAGACATTGACAACTTCTTTTCTCAGCCAGTGTGGAGAGAGAAGGGAGCTGAGCGATGGAAAGGAGCTTTGGAATTTCACACAGGGAAAGATTTTTTCAGCAGAGCTGCTCTTGGTTCCTCTTCTTTCATCCTCTCACCAGTCACACAGCTTTCCTCGTGAGGATAGTCAGCAAGTGGATGCAGGAGTAGGAAATCGGGAAGAAAAGTTAAATAAGCTGGCCAAATGGCATATTTGGAGGAGGGAGAGTAGTATTTCTGCTGGAGCAATGATCTGTTTAGTGAAAGACTGGCCAGGAGGAGGCTGGTGCTGCAAACTCCTGGTGTAAATCAGGGAACAAGCACTGCATGCTTTGCTTTCCTCATCCCGAGTATGGCCCAGGATGAAGACTGAATTAACACTAAATTAAATTCTAAATAGAGCTACATTTTAATATGCTTTACGTTCCTGTCCCTTTATTTCTTTTTCTTCTGGAAAGGTGATTTAACATCCTCCGACTCCAAACTACTCCATGGTTAATTTTGCAATTATTAATAATTGCAAATATTGAATAATTTTGCAATTATTCCCAACCAGCCACTGGAGATTAATTTGGGGCTGAAGCCCCTCTAGGAAACAACTTCCAGTGCTCCCAGTCTGAGTTTGGGCACACACCTTGTGCTGGGAGCTATTCAAGTGGGAGATTAATGACTCTTCAAGCTAAGCATTTGTGATAATAAATATCAATATTTATATGTTAAAAGTGTTTTCTAGCAGGTTGAATTTAAAACCCTCAAAATTAATTATACCTTAAAGAATTTAGTAAATGCCCTGATGGTGATGTGGAACTTAACAAAAGGCACTTCAAAAAAATCTTCACCCAAAATCCTCAGTGTCTTCACTATAGCTGTACTGAAAAGGGAGGATAGTGATTCTGTAAATTACAGTCAGAGTCTAAATTAGAGGTAATGCCCAATCTGGGAGTTGAATTTATATTTAAAGCACTTGCTGGAGTTACAGTGCTCATAGACAGAGCTGTTAGCAGGGTTAGGGTGATAAAGAGCTGCAACAGCATCCAAAATACTCCCAGTCCCCAGTATTTATCATTTTATTATGATTATTATTGAATTTAGGGTTTCCTAAAAGAAACCCCAGCTCCTTGGGTCATGTGAACTTTTGGAGACTCCCAGGAGCCACTGAAAAATAAGATCTATCCCTCAAGAGTGCAGAAACAAGCTTAAAAATGTGACTCAAATATACCCCCAGCAATTTAGTAAAAAAACCAACAGAAATTAAAATATTTTATCATATCAAAAGAATTAAAAATTATTTAGTACAATATTTCTTAATAAAATCTCAGGGTTTGGAGAAAGGGCTCATCATTTTGTAATTCTTCAGCCTGACAACAAAAATATTTAATTTTTTTTTTAATTATGGTAAATTATCAGATACAATACCCTCTAATTATGTGCATTACATTGAGACAATGCAGAAAAAGTTACGGGATTATAACTTAATCATTTAAGTGATTATTGTATTTTATAAATGCTTAATATATCATCATGGGCATGTTCATGCTCCTTTGGAAAATGCGGTATTGATTGTTGCTCTAAAGGCCCATTCAGGTCAGTATTGATAATGACTGGGAATTCTCCACCCATGATGGTAAGGAAATTACAGTGCTATTTGTCTTTTAAATGTGGTTCTCTAAGCCACTTTAATTCTGATTTAAAAAAAAAAAAAATAAAAATTAGTGTTTGGCTTGCTGGCTAATCATTGGTTTGCTCTGCCACTGATGCAGGGAGAATATTATTGCAGAGCTGAAATGGGAGGTACTGAACAGAAAAGCAGAAAGTGCAGAATTTTCCTCAGAAAAACAAAAAAAAAACCCCTTTTTAGGGAGAAAACAACAAACAGGGCTGAGATAGAGAAATTGTGAAATGCTCAGGAGCACCGCATGGGTTTAGTGATTTGTAATAAAGAATGCAAGAAGAATTTCAGCAATAAAAATGTAACATTTTAATAGTGAAAAAGCCCAGAGCCATGATATGGCTTTTTGGAGGGGTTTTTAAAGGGGACAGAAATGATAATAAATTTTGAGACAGCATTTGTGTGAGAGTTGGGCAGTGCAGAGGCAGCTGCATCTAACTTTTTGGGGTGTATCAGCTGGGTTTGCATCCCGTGAACCGCTTTTGGTGGTGCCACCAACCTCACACCAGGACAGGACTCTGCTGACGAGTTTCAGGAGCACAGGGCACAGGATTGTGTCTGGAATATTCCCACGGAGGAGACTCCACACCATTTCTGAGCATCTCAGTCACTGCACAGGGAAGTTTTTCCTCATGTCCAGGTGGAATTTCTGGGCATCAATTTCTGCCTGTTCCTCTTGTGCCATTGCTGGGCACCATCAAGAGGAGCCTAGCTCTGTCCTCTTGGCACTGTAACTAATGTATTTAATAACTAAATTACTAAAATTTGTGTGCACAGATAAAATCCCCTTCCAGCCATCTCTTCTCGGGGTTGAAGAACCCCAGCTCAGCCTTCCCTCACAGCAGAGATGTTCCAGTGCCCTCAGCCCGTCCCTGGCCTTTCGCTGTGCCCTCTCCAAGTCTCTTGTGCTGGTAGATTTATATCTTGTGTTTAGTTATATATCTTGTTAAATATTGTGTTTATTTTCTTCTTAAGCCATTTACCCATGAGGTTTAACCCATCATGGATTTAACTCACACCCAGCCCCTCTCCCATGCCCACAGCCAGGCCTGGGCACGGAGCTGTGAGTAACAAAGTTCATTCTTTAAAATTTGTAAAAGTTTAATAAGGGATAAAAGGGATAAAATCCAGCACTGGGGTGCTTGTCTGTCTGCCAAAAGCACACCCTTAGCTTAAAACAACGTTCTCTTTATACTTTAACATTACAGGGGGTACATGCATATTCCTAAGAGTTTATACGTATTTAAACATTCCTTTGAGTTTAGATGTTTTTTGCTTGGTTTTAACCTTTGACTTGTCTTCATGCCATCTTTTAGATAAAACAAATATATTTTATTTCTTCAGGTGGTTCTATCCTGTTGTTTTTATACTCTGTGATAACGAGGGGTCAATGAATTGGGTTCTGGTTTTTGTCACTATTACAACTCAGTCTACAAATGCGAGGAACTAGTTAATTATCTTACACCGTTCTCTGAGTTAGTTACATGAAAGCATTTTAACATCACATAGTCTCTATTTTAATATGATGCAACAGCCTAAGACATAATGCATTTATAAAATTACTATTTACTGTAAGTTACACGGTGTGTACATAATCTCAGATTATACCATACCAAAAAGCAGTGAAAAGGAAACATAAACTGTGCCATATCAACATCTTTGTGATTAACAATAATAACACGCAAAAGCTAATCCATAAATGCGAAAGCCAATATTATATTGTGGTTTACAACAGAGCGCTTTGGGGACCGGGCGGCTCCACCCTGGGCCCGCACGGTCGTGCTGTCCCCGCCACCCCGGAGCCCTCCAGGCGGAAAGGGCTGTCCCTCCCCGGGCACACGGAGCCCCACGGTGGGTGCGAGCCCCGGGGCTGAGAACGGAGCCCCGGGGCTGAGAACGGAGCCCTCGGTCCTGCAGATCCCTCGGTCCCTCAGAGCCCACGGCCCCGCCGAGCCCTCGGTCCCTCAGGGCCCGCGGTGCCTCAGCGCCCTCGACCCACCGGAGCCCGCGGCTCCCGGCCCTGCTCCGGCTGCCTCCGGCTCCTCCTCCGCCCGCCTCCTGCCCGCCCCGGCGCCTTCCCAGGCTGCTCTCCGGGTAAACAGCGATGGCCGCCGAGGAGCGAGGCGGAGAGCCCCGAGATAACATGGGGAACCACCTCCAGCTGGTGCCCGGTGAGGGCAGGGCCGGGCCGGGGGCACCGCGGGGGACGCGCCGGGCCGGGGCTCGGCGGGCGGGGCGGGGAAAGGGAAAGGGAAAAGGGAAGGGAAGGAAGGGAAGGAAGGAAGCAAGCGGAGGCGGAGAGGAGAAGAGGAAGAGGAAAGGGAAAGGGAAAGGGAAGCGAAGGGAAAGTTTGGAGAGCCCCCGGGCGGTGTGGCGAGCGCTGAGGGCCGGCGGAGCTGCGGGCGCTCCCGGCCGGTGCAAAGCGGCGGAGGGCGAGCCTTGGCCCGCGGGCTCCTGCGGCCTCTGCTCCTGGGCTCCTCCAAATCCATGGAGGCCGTGAATGTTCCATGGAGGTTGTGAATGTTCCACTGGGGCCGTGGATGTGCGTGCAGGAAGGGACACGAGGTGTTTGGGGCAGCCGATGGGGTTTCCAGCAGAGTGGGCAAAGCAAGCGCTTCTCTGTGAACTGAGACCTCTGTGAAACCCAGAGCCTGAGGAAAAACCTCCGTTGTTTTAGGAAATCACTGCTCAATTTTCCAGTGAAAATAAGCAGGGAAGCAGAGGTGCTCGGGGCTGGATGCAGAGCAGTGCTGGATCCCATGTACTGCCCTGCTTATCTGTCACACACACTAGTGCAATTCCTCACCCAGGGAATTATTGCATAATTATTGCATAATAATGTGGTTTTCTTCACATGGTGCCTTCACACTGACAGGAGATCGAATGGTTGGGGAGGCAGCTTGTGCTTAACTGGAAAGAAGCATTATTTCAGAATAAGCATTCAGGGGAGAAGGGAGCAGGAAATCCTGCCAGGAACCTGTGTCATTTCCCCTGACTGTCAGCTCTTTAGGCCTGTATGTTTTAAATAATAAGAAATTATTTCCTGAATGTTTTAGGAAATATAGCCTTAATATCACTGTAATATAAGCAATTTTCTTGGACATTTTAGGAAATACAGCTTTAATATCACATTAATAAGTTATTTCCTAAATGTTTTAGGAAATACAACATTAATATAAGCTATTTCCCAAATATTTAGGAAATACAGACTTAATATAACCTTAACCTATATATAACCTTGCCCCTTTTCCTTTAATGAGGTTCGTATTTGCTCATTTCTGCACGAAGGCATTGAGAGTGGATTGGGTTGTGTTAGCAAACCAATGTGAGGGAAATGTGATTTTTGTTACACAGGGGAGCCTTCAGCGCTCGCTTTTCCCCCTTTCTGTGTGCTGGAGGTGCTGCTAATCCCGGATTTTAAAGCCAGTAGTTGGGGGTGTAAAAGCTTCAGCTTGTTTTGCCAGCTGAGAGGGAGGAGGAGAGGGAAGGCGCCGGGGTTTTCTGTGTTTCGGGCCGGCTGGTGCTGCTGCAGTGAAATGAGTCATCGTCCTCAGCCACCACCACCACACAGCAGCCACTGTGCGCTTTTGGCAACGGCCAGCAAAAGTTTGCAAGGCACAATTCTTTCCAATCAACTGCTGCTAATTCCTTCTGCGTTCAGAAAAACAAGTGGGATGACCTTTCCCTGTTAAAACTGTTAATGATGGATGCAGCTGGATGGGAGCACATGGAAAAATCAGAATTTGTTTTTTTCTTCCCCTCCCCTATCCTGCAGTGATGTCTAAGAACCAAACAAAAACTTTCTGGTCTTCCCCTCCATCAAACTAAGCAAAGTAATGGCTGTTTTGGAAATCTTAAACATTTTGTAATAGTTCATGGTTAGGGTTGCTAATTGAATGTAGGAAATTTCATATAGACATGGGGTATTTTTAACAGTCATTAGGCAGATGGTGTCTCATTGCTGAAAGGACTGTAATTAGGTACAATACCAAAGAGAGTCTGTAACCTCCTTTCCTGTTGTGCTGGATCATTTCTTGCTGAGATAAATTCAATATAGGATGGATCTGTAAGAGCAGGTTCTGTAAACTATGAACTATTTAAAAAAAACATATGTGAGGTGAAGCAGAAATAAGACCAGTGACTAAACATTTTGTAGGAGCATTTAACAAATGTGCCTGGAGGCCAAAGAGGGGAAAAAAAGGGTTCTCTAAAATCAGCTTTTAGTGTCTTCTTCACTGTTCTCTTGTCCTCCCACTCTCAGAAATAGTGAAATTAGTGGTGCTCCATTTCTGAAGGAAAATTCTTTGCTTCTGCAGCATCTTTCTGTTTTGAGATTTCCCTGCAGAACCCTTCAGGATAAGAGAACCCTTCCACCTTTTACATTTTCAACTCTGGATTATTTTTTAAGAAGATCTTAATTGCAGAGGTGGGCAACTAGACAGACTATTGTAAAAATCTTTTTTTTACATCTTGTAATAGTTTTCAAAGTGTAAATGATGTTTTTCAGCACCACTGGGATTATCCGTTACCCAGCAGCTCTTGGTGTAAGAGTCCTGGAGACTGGTTTATGCTAACATGTAGTTTAGACATAACATGGTGTATAAATAATGTTTGTGTTCAAAGAAATAGGGTCAGTTAATGCAATGACGGATAACTTAATTGTCCTCTTGCCTGAAAATCACTTTAGGATTGGCTGAGAAATGGGAAGGATGCAGTAGTTTTTAAATACTATTTTGTATCTGAAATCCCGTGGAGTCTTGTGATTTGCTTCCTCAGGAGCTGCCTTTGCTGGGTTTGTGTTTGGTGTACACACAGCAGACAGAGGCTGACAGCAATTAAATTGTCTAAAAAACCAGCAAGAGTCTCTGCGTGAATCTGGAGTTTCCCATTGCTTCTTACTCACTTGCAGTTTGATTGTTGAGGTTTGTGCTGCTTCAGACACTTTACTCAGCATCCTACAAAGAATGAAGTTATCTGGCATCCTGGTGTGCAGACAAAACCTTTAGAGCTGAGATAAGGAAGTACCACCGCAGTGAAAACCTGAACTGACTGCCTTTGTTTATTATTTTCTTCCAAGGAAAGTTGTTCTTTAGCCTTTCAGAAACAAATTACCAGCTTTTGACCCTTTCTATAGAATGATGATTCTGCTGTAACAGCAAGAAAATTATTTTCCTCCAGTTTATTTCCCTGTGCAAGGCTGTAGCCTGGGAATATTGAATGCATTTCCCTGATTCTCAGGTTTTTCTCAGTATCTCAGTCTTTGCTGATTGGTTTCTACACAATGTTTATGTCCTTCTCAGTAGAGAGTGAGGAAGAGGATGACAATGAAATGGAAGTGGAAGACCAAGACAGTAAAGAAGCTGAGAAGCCAAACATCATTAATTTTGATACCAGTTTGCCCACATCACATATGGTATGTTTTTATATGTTGTCCATTAAATATATCCTGAAGGGATTTGAATGGGGTTTGTATAGTTTTATTGTCATGTTGTTAAGCCACATGTTTAGATTTATTTTCACAGAATCATAAGATCATAGAGTGGTTTGGGTTGGAAAAACTTTAAAGGGCACCAGTTGCACCCCCTGGGAAGGGACACCTTCCATTGTCCCAGGTTGCTCGAAGCCCTGTCCAGCCTGGCCTTGGACACTGCCAGGGATCCAGGGGCAGCCTGTACCAGGGCTCTGGGCACCTCTGCCAGGGCCTGCCCACCCTGCCAGGAGCAATTCCTGCCCAATATCCCATCCGTCCCTGCCTTCTGGCAGTGGGAAGCCATTCCCTGGAGCCTTCTCCAGGCTGAACACCCCCAACCTCCCAGCAGAGCAGCTCCATCCCTGTGCTCACCATAGTGTCCGTGTCCTCCCTGAGCTCCCAGCCCTCCCTGAGTGTCCCTCCTTGCTGTTGGCAGTACCTGGGCTCGGACATGGAGGAGTTCCACGGGAGGACAGTGCACGATGACGACAGCTGCCAGGTGATCCCCGTGCTGCCCCGGGTGATGGTGATGCTGATCCCCGGGCAGACGCTGCCGCTGCAGCTCTTCCGCCCCCAAGAGGTTAGCATGGTGCGGAATTTAATTCAGAAAGACAGAACCTTTGCTGTCCTTGCATACAGGTAAAAGCCACGGGCGGGTTGCTGGTGTGTGCAGCATGTTTTTAGCGCAGTTTCCGTGGATACTAAAGCAAAAGCAGATGGTTGCGTCAGTTCTGTGCTCGATAACAAGCTGAAATTGTTTAGCAAAAATTGTCAATGGCAGTGTAGGTGCTTGACAGCATCGTGTTTGTGTGGAGAAACAGCAAGTGCTGATCTGCTTCCTTGTTTGCGCATCCTCTTCATTTCAGTAACTGTTTGTTCCATCTTGTTAAAGAATGAGCCTTGACCTGAAATGTAAAATTCACATTCTTGTTTTGAGAGCTGTATTGTTGCTTGCTTTGTGTGTGAATTAACAAGCACTGGCAAATGTTTCACAGTAGAGTTGAGAGACAGGAGGTGATAGAAAAGTGGAAAAGAGTAAAGCTGATCAGTGCCAGAAGAAGTTGGGAATGTTCCTCCCTCTTCACTCTGCAATTTACTATGGATTAATTGTGTGGGAGGTGGGAACAGTTCCTGTTATAAAGTCAATCTGAAGAGTGTTGATGCTTTCAGTGTCTGCATTTGAAATGCTGGTGATCCTCTGTGCTCCCAGAATGTCACATCTAGACCCTAAAATAAAACCAGGTCACCTGGAAAAAAACCCCAACCAACCAAAACAATCGAAGTTGCTTTATAATAGAAAAATATTATTGTGATTAGTTAAAGATATTTCACCAAAAATTGCTTTTTTTGATCAGACCAATCATGTACAGTCAGTGCAGGCAGACTGGAGTTTGAATGAGCAGTGCTGTTTGGAGGGAGGTAATTAATTTAATTTATCTTCAATTCTGTTACTTTTAGTAATGTACATGAGAGGGAAGCACATTTTGGAACGACAGCAGAAATCTATGCCTACAGAGAAGAGCAGGAGTATGGAGTTGAAACTGTCAAGGTGAAAGCAATAGGAAGACAGAGGTTCAAGGTGCTCGAAATACGAACACAGTCAGATGGGTAAGAAAATGATGCAGTTAATTCTATACTCAAGTCAACTTTGATAGAAGTACTCTCTTATTTTCTGTATTCCAGTTTGATTACTGTGATATTTAGAGGCTCTTCTGACTGGTTTTATAATATTATGTAATTAATGCCTTTTCCCATTTCTAAAAGTTATCAAGATCCTGAACATTGAGTGAGAATATGCTGAATCTTCCCTCATTTTCAAGTCCTTGGCAGCCTGGCCTGCAGTATGCAGTATGGCCACTGGCCAGAGGTCCAGTCTCCAGCATTGATCTGGGAGCATGTGACAATTCTTAGCATAATTGCTAGAGCTTCTGTAGTGTTTTCTGCAAGGCATGTGAAGTATTACTCTCCGTATCTGTAAATCTAGAGCTACTCCCCTGTATCCTGCAATTGAGCATAGTGGCATTGCTTTAGAAAGAGGCCTGGGAGCAGCATTTCTGTGGTTTTGTGACCTGCAGCTGAAGAAATGAAGAATACCTGTGCTGTTTGCTCTCTGACATTTGGCTCCAAATAACGGACTCTGAATGTTGGAGCTTGGGAAAAGCCCTGCTTGGACACATGGTGGCAGTGCTTGGACAACTGCAGCACAGCAGCTTTGTTACTGGGAATTCACTGCCCAGAGCTCCTTAGCAAGAAGAGCATTTCCATAATTCTTGGCATTTCTGATTCCTGAGTGCTTTTGGCACAACATAATCTTACAATTTATTGTAAGTTACTAGTTCAGTGCTGTCCCTGTGAGAAAATTAGGAATTTGTAATGACACACCCCTCAATATTTCAGAATTTCTGCTGCATAAGCCTGATGAAATATGAAGTCTTTCCTGCTGGACAGCATTCTTAGTAGCCTCATAACATATGCTGAGGTCTTTGTGGAAGAGGTGACCTTTGATGCTGGGATATTAAAATCTGATCAGAGTCTGTATCCTATTTCTGCTGATTCTGACCTCTAGCTGAGCACAGAGGCTTTTGTGGTTTGAAGATAGCAAAATGCATTTCAGCTAAACTGAGGCATTGAGATGGAAGAGCTGATTATTTATACCAAAAATAACTTGAGGAGACAAAAATCTAAATCTCTAAGTGCTGAGACTGTGCAATGTTGAGCTGTGTTGCCACTGCCAGTGTGTCTGTATTTCTGTCCACCACAATCCCAACTGATCTATAGTGCTCTAAAATAAAAGGAAATTCTGATGGAATGAGTTGTTGTTTAAATTCTCTAGTACTGGGGAGTGATTAATCCATTGCACCAGCCTGTGTTCCCATAAGCAGTAAAATCCAATTTGAAAAAACATTTTAAAAATATATGTACACTGCATCTTCTTGTTTCCTTTCTCAGAATCCAGCAGGCTAAAGTACAAATCCTGCCTGAGCGAGTGCTGCCTCCCACCATGTCAGCAGTGCAGCTGCAGTCTCTCAGCAGGTGCCACGTGATTCCCTCTTCCAAACCCACTTCCTGGCAGGACAGAGCCATCCGCCAGTGGTGGCAGAAGTACCAAAAGGTGAGAAGTTGTTCTACAGCTTTGGTTATTTTGGGTTTTTTTTTAATTTTTTGTCTTAATTTCTGATGGCATCTTGAGAATCAGTATGCAATTCCATGTGTAGAGGAGGGGGTACAACAGGGAAGGCAGATTCCAACCTCCTGCTTTTCATGGAATCACACAATGGTTTGGGTTGGAAAGGTCCTTGAAGCCCATCCATCCCATGGGTAGGGACACCTTCCACTATCCCAGGTTTCTCCAAGTCCTGTCCAGCATGGCCTTCCAGGGATGGGGAATCCACAACCTCTCTGGGCATCCTGTGCCAGTTGGTATCTGTATTTATTATTTACTCCATTGTTTCACTGACACAGAGAAACTACCTTGAAATCTTCTGCGTCTGTAGAGATCTTTGGAACTACCTCCAGAAATTAATACAGAGTCCTGTATAACTTGACTCATGTTTGGATTTGCTTTTTTCTTCAATGGTTTTGAACTGTTGTACCCTGAAAATCAAATAAAAAACTCCACTGATAACAAACAGCTCTTGATTCTCAGAGATCCTGACCAAGGTCATGTGGATTAATGAGCCCAGAAACACTGAGCTGTGGGGTGGAAATCCCTTTCCAAGGCTCATTCTGTCAGGTGAAGCTGCAATGAAGTGAACCCACTGTAGGACAAACCTGGGATGCAGATCCAGAGCAGGGTAATTGTCCTGTTGACCTCCATCTCTCTACTGTGTAATCTGTAAATGAGGAGGGTTGCCCTCAAGGGGGAGATTAAAATTGAATTTGTACATATTTGCAGTGCAATATGAGCTCCTCTTTTGCAAAGCAATGTAGTTATGTTGTGTGCTGCTTTTTAGGCTTCTATTAACTAAAGCTCTGAACTTCTGTATTCAGAAATCACTGGAGAAAATTGGATTAATTAAACAAATAACATTACACTGGTGGAATTTTGGTGGTTCCAGGGACAGCTGGTGGAGAGTTAGGAACAGATGCACTGTTAATAGCACTTAAATTTTGAACTGTCTCCGTTTCAGATAGGTACCCTTTTGAAAGATATAATTTTTTATTACTAAACATCAGAAACCCCTCTAATGCAGAGACAGTTTTTGTGACAAAATCCACGTATTGTCCTGTTCAGAAGGCTTGGCCCTCAATGCGTTTGAAAATGGGTTTGGAAGCTTCACAGTGAAGTGCTCATCCTGATGGGGATAATTTGTCTCTTTAAATCATCAGGTCTGTCTCCCCTTTTTTATTGGTTTAAAAAGACCCCTGTCCCTAAAATCTTTTGTTAAAGAATAAATATTTGTGGGTTTGGTTTCAGAGGAAGTTCCACTGTGCAAGTTTGACATCTTGGCCCCCCTGGCTCTACTCCCTCTATGATGCTGTAAGTTCACCTTGAAATCAAATAACCTGCAGTGAGCCTTATAGTTGTAATATCAAAGTATGGGATAATATAAAAGCTTTCATTTTGTTGGCTCATAATTTCCATTTTAAAGCATTTTATATTCAATGTAGTGTGAAAAGATCAGGAAGGGCTTCCCCTCTGTGGTTGTTCCCTCCTTCCTAGAGCAAGTGTCTGGGAGAGATTCTGGTTCCTGCTGTGTTGTCTCAGAGAAAAACCAGTTAAAATACATAGGTACAAAGTGATTCTTTAATTACTCTTTAACTAAAAGCTACTGTCCACTTAGGGAAAAGAGCTTACTCTACATTTTCCTTCCCTTTTATTTTTTTTCCCTAAGAAAACAGCAATACCTGTGTATTTAAATTAGGCTTTTCTTCTAACAAAAGGAAACATTGATGGAAAGAGTCAAGAGGCAGCTCCATGAGTGGGATGAAAACCTTAAAGACGAATCTCTTCCATCAAACCCAATAGGTACGAGGTTTTATGAACCCACATTTTTAATTTTTAATTTTTTTAATTTCTTAAGAGACCACAGCTTAGATAGTTACCTGTGGTAGAGTAAATAGAAATAATTGGATTTATTTCTCTGTTAATTCTAACAGACCTGCTGCTTTCTCATTTCTAGATTTTTCTTACAGAGTTGCTGCCTGCCTGCCCATTGATGATGCTTTACGTATCCAGTTGCTTCAAATAGGCAGTGCTGTGCAGAGGCTCCGTTGTGAGTTAGATATCATGAACAAAGTGAGTAGTTCTTCTTTCTTTGCCATCAAATTGCCAAAAAAATTAGAATGACTGTCACAATTCTTTGAGAAATTATGGAAGTTCCAGCTAATCCTTCCAGAGAATAAATTTGGGTGCTCTGTTCTTTCTTCAAAAGTTTGTTCAAAAGGAAAAGGATGTCTCAGTGCTGGATTAAGTTTGGCAGCAAGCAAGAAATATATAATAATAAATAACAATAGAATAGATATTATAACATATAGTGATATGATATATACTATATGATATATTATATATGATATGATATAATATACAATATATTATATGATATATTATATATGATATGAAATAATATACAATACAATACAATATAATATAATATAAACCTGCTTTTGTTAGAAGTGTTTCAGTGTGGCACAGCACTTTCTTAGCCAAGAGATGGTGCTAAAAGTCCAGTGTTGTTAACAACCATCATAGCCACACACTGACACCACGATCATTTTGCCATGGAAATTTGTGGATTTTGTAGCAAAATCTTCTTAATATTGAGCATAAACCTAAAGATTTAACTAAACAGATTTTTTTTTGTAAAAGACATATTTATTTCTTAGGCAATTCCTTGTTAAGATGTTCAAAAACTTGTTTTCCTTCCCTTCTTTCCATTGCCATGGCCTTGTAATGTTCTAAATGTTCTATTTTTGTGTAGTATGGTTCTTTGTAATGATTTATATTTTCTAAATAACAGTACTGTGTTTGTCTAATGGATACAGAGCAGTGGGAATTTTGCCTGTTTGCTTAACAATTACTGTCATTAAATTCTTGCCTGTTTCTGGGGAAGAGAAACCCAGAATGTCATTTTAATAGTGATCCTCTTTCCAAAACTCATGCACCAGAAATTTAAAGAAAGGAGACAGAAAACATCTCTTCCATATTCTGAGACAAAATGGGCAGGTTTTTGCCTGAGGCTATAATCAGACTAAATTTCACTTGTCTTTTCTGAGTTGAAACTCTGAAAACACCCAGATACTCAAGTACTACGGAGAACTGTTCATGTTCAGTAATTATATATTTTCTATAGAGACAGGGAAACTTTAACTTGAATTTATGAGGGTAATTTAAGTTGCTTTTTAGCCTATACCCAAAAGGTGTTTTCTTCATCATAATGTGACATTTTGCTCTATAAATGTGTTTAAATGTGTCAGAATGAGAAGTGCATTATGACTTTTTACAATTTATTTAGCAGCATTTTTTTTCCAAAGCCAGAGTTCTTTAGGAAGACCTGGCTTGTTCAGGATGTAATTGACAATAATAAAACTGATCCTGAAAGCTGATCCATTTTCCTTTCTCTCTGAAGAGGATCTGGGTAGTAGAGCTCTTGTCCTTGCTCATGTCCAGTGAGCAGAGTGGGGCAAGGACCAGTGGCACCTCCAGGAAAGGATCTGGAGCAGCTGAAGTCCAACAAAAACCTCTGAAGGCAGCAAAGGAGAGAGAAAAGAGCAATTGGAGTGCGTGGTGTCACAGCAGAGAGCAGCTCAGGGGGCTCAGAAACAAACACAAACTCCGGGTTTTAAGAGAACTGTCCTTGGGTGCAGCGTTTTATTCCAAAATCCTGTGGATCATTTTGGTAGGAGTTTCACAGGCTTTACCCTTAAAAAGAAGTAATGCATGTCCTGAAAACCAGCGGGAGCTGATTTAAATGCTTCTTTTCTGGGTAGTGTCAGTGATGAATTGTTTAGTACTTTGTAGAAATTGTAGAAGATGGATTAATCTGTTATAATCTCCAGGAGAGAGATCAATATGTTTTACCTATTTTTTGTGTGGAAATTAAACCCATTGATCTACAGTACCCTCAAATTTAAGAAAGACTTAATGATTGCATTTGTCTCATTTGCCTTTTCTGTGCTATATTGCAGAAGAGCAAAGGTTGTTTTTTCTAAATTAGCCTTTAGAGACCTTAAAAGGTTGGCTCATTTATTATCTTTGTGGAGTCAGATCCAATTCTCTGTGTGTGGATCTTTTTGTGAGGAAAAGATATGGAAATTTTTATGTCTTTTAGATAATAATTAATGTCTAAATAAATAAAATGCATAGAAAAAATATCCCACATCAGTGACTGCTGCTCAGATAAACAAAACAGTTGGTCCAAAGTCTGTTCTGATGGAAAGGAAGAGACATTTTTATTATTTCCCACTGCTGACAAGCATCTGGAAATTAATGAAATTATCTTCTTTGTTTCTCTTTCCCAGTGCACATCTCTCTGTTGTAAGCAATGCCAAGACACAGAAATAACTACCAAGAATGAAATATTCAGGTGAATTTATTATTCTTCATATTGGGCAGCTCCTTGGTCAGAAACACGGGCACAGCAAAGCAGATTAAGCTGGGTTAAGTTTTAAAACTGCTGGGTTTGCCATGGCTCCAATAAAATTTAAGTAAATATTTATAGAGAGTTTATATTTGAGCTTTTTTAATAAAAAGTTATGAAATCTCAGTTTTCCAGGCATATTGGAACAGAAATTGGTGTTGTGCCACACCCCCAGCACCTTTCACTGAACAATTTGAAATATAAATGTGTCGCATAAACGCTTTTTCATCCTGGTATTGCTGGATAAAGTTTTTGATATCCCACATTTTATTTCTCAGCACTTAATTTCTGTGTCAACAGAACAAGAGAAAATTAAAATGTACTAATTAGGGGATATAAGCAGACTCCCAGGATGTTGGCATACAGGGAAGGTTTCTATTTAAGCCATGAAGTGTTGTGATCCCGTTTTTCTTTGAAGAATTAAAGGTTATTTCTTAAATAATAGTTTATTCAAACCTATTCTCTGTTTGCCCTATACAATATCTCCCATGTTTAACAACGATTACATTTCCCATATAATTGCTGCTTCTGTCAGCCTTGTCACTGCTTTTAATCTTGATTAACTCCCATCAGCCCATCCCCTCTGATAATGGGAAGGTTAAAAGATGGTTTGGGTTAACAGAGTTTCCCCACAGTTCTTCTTTATCAGTGTGATAAGGAGCTGTTGGGGTAATTAAAAGCCATTTCTTACCTTCTAATCAAATAATGGATTGCAGACACCACAATTCCTGCTCTGTCAATATGATGAACTTTTAACAGAAGATGCTGAGACGTTGGTGCAATAAATAAACATTTTCCTTACTTTTAAAGTTACGTTTTCCTTGCATTTCTTTGAACTTGCTATTTAAAGTAACACACAGGATGAGTCTTATTGTGTACTTCCCTGCACTTCTAAGCAGATTTGATCAATGATATTTTAAATTACCATCTATTTTCTTTCAGTTTTTAATAGTATAATTCAAAGGATTTTTTTCCCACCTACAAAAAGTGTGTTTTTATGCTCTGTTGAAATATTTTAAACTTAGCTGGCAGTTTTTTCTCTGTTTACATTTGCCACCTTTTGAGGTTGGTTTTTTGGTTTTTTTTTTTCCTTTTTTAATTATTTTTCCTTGCATTCTGATCAATTTCCTTGTGTGTTGTAGCTTATCCTTGTGTGGGCCCATGGCAGCCTATGTGAATCCCCATGGATACATCCATGAAACCCTCACTGTATATAAAGCTTGCAACCTGAGTCTCAGTGGACGGCCCTCCACAGAGCACAGCTGGTTCCCTGGGTAAGAACAGCAACATTTTTATTAGAAAATCACCCAAACTGGCTATTTTTGGCAAGGTGGAATAGTAAATATTGAGTTTTTTAGGCACATGACGTCATTTCCCTCATGTAAAAATTAAGGAAGTGAATTTAGACTTATTCAAAAGACAGAATAAAATGGAAAAATCATGTAAAACTGTGCAGAATTTAATATTTTTTAAATAGGGAAATATTAAGATTTTGAAACATAGTCTAGAATCGAAACTGTTTAAACCAATTTGTCTGGAAATTTCTTTGTGTGTAGTTTTGTTTAAAGTCCAACTGATTTCAGATTTTTTTTCCACATAGCTTTAGTGCAAATGAAAACAAGAATATATAAATGCATTTCGTCTACTGAAATACATTTTTATATATAAAACCTGACTAAATGTTTCATGAAATTAAAAACTAGTAACATTTGTATTGATCTGATTATCTTTGATTTTATTTTAATAATAATTAATAGCAAGTCTGCCTCTCTGAGATGGCAACAGAATTAAGTGTTACAATGTAAAAGTTTGCTTAATAATAACAGGTCTTGCATCCAGGGTATTTTTCCTGGATTATCACAGAGAGCTGAGCAATTACTTGGAGGAAGTCTGGCATTTCTGTCACATGTTGTAACATTCCCTAAAGAAAATTTGATACTTTTAATATCTGGAGTTAATATTGCTCGTGCTTTTGTGTTTTCTCAGCTTTTCTGTTATGCCTTTGAAATATTCATGTTCTACCTCATAAAACTGTTAGAGAAAAGCTCTGCTGCTGTGGGAAGTGCAAATAATTCCCTGTTATTTGAGGAGCAAGGCAAAAATCACTTTCATTCCCATTAAATAATTTACTCTGAGAAGTTTTCTGAACCCTCTTTAGGGCTCTCAGCATTTCTTACTGCTGGAACCTGGGGCAATAATGAGCTTTGGTTGCTTCCTCTCTTTGAAGAGGCAAGACATGGCTTTGGGGCTGGGATGTTTGTGGGGCTTTCTGCTTTATTTTTTGAAGACCTGTTTTAGATGGGAGCTGGGCACTGGATTCCTGGGGATTCTTTGCAAACCCACTTGGGTATTGTCACCCAAACCCAGCTGGGGATTGTCACCCAAACCCAGTTTGGGATTGTCACCCAAACTCAGCTGGGGATTGTCACCCAAACCCAGTTTGGGATTGTCACCCAAACCCAGCTGGGATTGTCACCCAAACTCAATTTGGGGATTGTTGCCTGCTGAAGCATTTTCCAAAGGCCTTTCCCTTGACCAAGGCTTTGCTGTGCCCTCGGCAGGTACGCCTGGACCATCGCCCAGTGCAGGATCTGCGGGAGCCACATGGGCTGGAAGTTCACGGCCACCAGGAAGGAGCTGTCCCCTCCCAAGTTCTGGGGGCTGACGCGCTCGGCGCTGCTGCCGCGCATTCCCGAGGGGGACGGGGAGGACTCGGAGCGCGGCCGCTCGCCGCTGCTGTGCCTGTGACAGCCCCAGTGCACCTGCTCTGTGCTGCTTCCCTGCTTCCTCAGCCCAGGAACCCCGGGAAGCACGTCCCATCCCCAGGGAACCAGGCTCACCCAGCTCCCCGTGCTGTTCCTCGGGAGCTCCGGACTGTTCCTGGAGAGGGGGTGCCAGGAGACACCAGGAGTGAAGGTCCATGTGGGACACCAGGAAATCTCTGATCCACGTGGACACACTTGAGACTGGACTCGTGTAATTCCCACTTGCAGTGAAGGAAGGGGGATGGAAACTAAAATCCAACTAAAATCCCAATAAGCAGAGTCTGATTTATGCAATATTCCCGGGATGGTAGATAGCAGTTACTGCTGTGGAGAGTTTGCCATAATACACTTACACGTGGTTTGCTGAGAATCCCTGTTTCTAACTCTGAAGTCCTTCAGGTTTGCTGCTTGTGCTGTTTCTCAGCTTTTTGCTGAATAACCATGGAAGAGAGAAGCAGCCTGAGAGTTTTGGAGTGCTGGAATGTGCAAAAGCTGGAATTGCAGCTGCCTCCCAGGATGGATCCCGTGGGGAAGTGTCTGTTCTTTACAAGTTGTCTCATCTGTTTTAGTCCATTTGATTTTAGAAGTCTTAAATTTTAAACTGTTGGTAAGAAGTGCACAGGTCAGTCCCAGAGAGTAAACAGCATTGTCGTGTTCAGTGTGCTTCAATTACTTCCCAATACTATTGCTGGTAGTGGAATTCTTTAGTAGTGGAAATGTCCATGGGGTTTGGGAAGGACTCTAAAACACCCCACTGAGGTGATTTTTAAGTAGTACTTGTTGTGACAAAGGGAAGGAAAAACCTCTTTTAGTTATTTTGTTTTCACTTTCAGATCATAAAGTAAAATTTCACATTATCACCTTATAAAGAGCAAAAGTTTCCAAATAAAACAGAAATAAAGGCAGTGCTTTCTTGAGGGGAGGTTTCTTGGTAGATTTTTGGTTTGCTTTGCTTTTTTATTTTGTCTGTGCTCCACAAATTGGGTGCCAAACTGGGGCAGCTTTTGCCACTGATTTATTGGGTTTTTTTCCTCTCAGAATGCACTTTGGTGATGGCAGTGGAGATATCTTCAGTGCTTGTGCACATAAACACTTGTTTTTTTGTGAAGCTTTTATCATTCACTCCTAATTCCTTCACAGTGATGTAAAACTAGTCAAATTTAAGACATGAGCCACTGGTTGCTTGTTCTCTGTCAGGCTCCGGGCAGGTGTAGCAAGGACAGATCACAAGCCTGGCACACCAGGAGCTGATTCCCATGGCAGAAAAACACCCCAAACCATGGACTTGCTGCTGGGTATTTGTCGTGCCAGGTATGTAGAGATTAATTGTGTAACTCAGGTTTAGTTCTTTGAACTTTCTACCTCTGTGCTGCTTCTGTTCTTCTTAGACACCTTTAATTCCATGTGCAGTGCCCTGACTTGGCAGTGAAAAGCAGAATTTGGGATGTGGCTCTGAGCCACCAGAAGGGTGATGATGGCTCATTTTCAACAGAAAATTTCTCATTTTTCAACAGAAAACATTCTGGATGTTGATAATAATTCATTATAAGCTTGGAAAGCCAAGCACTGGTGTGAGAGGGAGACTGGGAATGCTCTGTGTTGGTGAATCCTCTGGAAGCAGGCCTGGCTTTCCCTCACCCCTGCACACATCTGGGCTGTACATTTGGGTTATTTTGTTTTTTTTCCCCTCAAAGCCCCTCCTGTCTGTTGTTCCTGTGACCCTCAGTGGGTGCCTTGGGATGAGCATTCACTGGGGCCTGGGGAAGGGGAATTTCAAAAGGATTTTCTCAGCTGTCACTGAACTTCTAAAGGTTCAGTTCTTTGGGGTTTTGGCCGAGTCTTTTGTATTCTCAGTTAAAAATGGCAATGTTTGAATCCAGAATAAGTGTATATTTGGTGTTTTGTGTATATAGTCAAATGTAAGCTAATATAATTGAGGTAAGTCAGGAGTAAATTAATACTAATTAAATTATATTGTTGATGATGCTGTTCCATGTGCTTAACCTGTGCAGTGTTTGCTAGATTGGAGTCCATGACACTTCCCAGGTTGAATCCTGTGGTGGTGAATCCCATCCTTACTGGGAGGTATCAGAATATCCAGTGCTCCAGGGTGTGGAGTTGGGAATGGTTTTCCTTACATTGGTTCATATTTTCCATGCTTTCCTCTCTTTTGAAAACTATTGGTGGGAATTAGGGAAAATTTGGAACATCAGTATGGAAAAATATGGACAGCAACTGCTTAGGAGAGCTAATGAAGGGAAACCAGATTTTATGAATATTTACTACATTTACCCCATTGATTGGCTGAGTAGCTTCCTGCAGGAATTAATGAATCCAGTGGGCAGGACTGAGGGATCACAGGATTTACAGCACAGACTTGCTCATTTTCAAGCCATCATTGCAACATCACCAACACACCAGTCAGAGCCTGTAACTTAGCAAGTTTTCAATTATTTTAGTTTCATTTTGACAAATAGGTAGAACCACTTGCACACTGGATCTGGAACATTTCAGATACTCATTTGTTTTTTATTAAAGCTCTTTTTGGATGTGCTGCAGTTCATTTGTTCCTCTCTTTGTCACCTTTAGTTGCTCTGTGAACTGCTCCAGGGGTAGCCCAGTCTCTGCTTTAACTCTTCCTTCTCTCTGCCTTTCGGGACAACTTTTCTGACAAATCTTGTGGCTTGCAAATATTTGCAAAGAATAAAATTCAATTTGTTTCAAAACTCACCTGGTTTTGCTGATTGTTGGGGTGGGAAAAGGAAAGGTTTGAGTTTATGATGTGGTTTTAACAGGTTGACTGCAAAAAAACAAAGTTTCACTCCCAAGTCTGTGCTGGCTCTGCTGGCCCAGGACAGAGAAGGTAAGGAGTAACATGGGAGAGAGGGGAGGTTGTCAGGTAATTAAAATCCATTGTGAATATCATTTAATTAATCAAGTAATCTGCTGGAGAACTTTATTTGACCATGTGTGCATCAAGCTTCTTCATGTCTCCCCATTTGCCATTTAAATAGCTCATGCTCTATAAAGGAGTGTTTACTTAAACCCAGCGTTTTTCCAGATCCCAGGATGGCACTGCTTGCCTAAAATATGTAAATACTTTTTATTTCATGCCATTCATTTTTGTAGGGGTTAATTTTAGTGGAAGATAAAGAGAGATACTCAATAGACCAATGGGAAACCTCAAGCATGAGCTGATCTTTAAAGAGGTGCTGGAACACAGGTGATCCCTGCACTGAATTCCAAGCAGGACTGGAAGGTGCTTGTGGAATAATCTGGTTTTGCTGGTTTTTGTGAGCCCTGGAGATTTGTAGCAGGATCCTCTGTGTTACCAGTGAGGGGTGGAGGAAATGGGGTTCCCTCTGCTTTTAGTGACCAGCTTGGCCAAATAATCTCCAATTAAACATATCAATTTCCACTTAGTAATACTTAAGATGGCTTTGAAAATCTGATTGATTCAATCGTGCACTCTACAACAGCAGTAACTCCCTATACTGTGTAGTAAATAATTCTGATTAAAGTCTTTTCAGGCTAATCATTACCAGCATCAATTTAACTAAATCATTCCTTGCTGTTTGTATGCAGGATTGGGGTTGTCATCCTTAATCCTGGGGGACAGAGTTGTGCAGAGGTTCCCTGACAGCTGAACAATCCTTTAGACATAAACCAGTGATTAAATCTGGGGGCAGGATTGGATCCAGGCACACCCAGCCCCTCTCAGGGCTGGCAAACAGCTGGATATTGAAGCTCAGCAATCATGGGAAGATCTCCCTGCTAATCTTTGTCCCAAGTATCCATTTGGTCCATGCCATGGTCATGAATTTCAAGCTTTTGTCCTTATAAATGCTCTCTTCAAGGGGAACTGAACCCTGACAGCAATTTTGGGTAAAAGTGTTAATATTTTACACCTCCACAACCATTGCTCTAAAGCTGCACTTTGGTGAAACCTTTAAAGGACTCTCTACAGCCCTGAATTCTGTCACTCTCCCTCCCAAGATTTCAGTAGTTCCAGAAATCACACGAAGGAGGCTTCAAATTAATCACCTCATTAAACGGAGCACCATCCTGTTCTTGTGAGATTTGCCTTCCTAACAAACAGCACTTTCCCTCTTCCCTTGCTGCCTCCCACCCATTCCCAGGCACCTCCAGCAGGATTTATTTAAAGGATCAGACATCCCAGGAAAATCAAAGGCAGCTGGGAAAGTTGTGTGAAAGTCCAAAATGCAGATTTTTTTCCAGCACTGCTCTGGTGTTGCCATCTAGTGTTGCAAAATGATACCCAAGGAAAACGAAATCCAAAGGAATTTATTTATTACCCTGGCTCTGTAGGAAAACTGCAACAAGATTTCTACACACAAGAGCTGCTCAGAGATTTTTTAAAACAGCACACCAAAAACCCCAGGGATAGGAAAACATTCATCAAGACCAGGAATAGCTCTACTCCAAAGCCCCAAATCCCCAAGACAAGGAGCTGGATCGCCCCTTCTTAATGTTAATTAACATTAATAGTTTGCCTCACACCTGAAATTGAAAATACAGTGTAGAACCTTCACCAACTTGCTGTGGATTTAGTTACTCAGAGATAAGTTACTGAAAATCCATGATACTCACTCAGCCAAGTTATCTTTTTAATCTAAAATTGATTCTGGAATTCTGGAAAATTAACACAGTCCTAGAAAACAGCCTGGTTTTCCATGGCAAGGCTGTTGGGAACTGCTGCAGTGAGTATTTCCATCTGTTACCCAGCTCTAAGTACAAAAAGAGTTAAGGTAGAGCCTATTATTTCCAGACATTCTCCTAGGCACATAAAAACCCCTCCATGATTTTATCTAGAGGATGCAAACTCTTTTTGGGAAGATTTTGGGGTTTTTTTTTGGGATGTAGAAAGTCATAAGGAGAAAAATCTTCCTGTCACCTCTCATGCTCTAAGTCATGATAAAGTAGTAAATATTTCTCACTAAAATCTGCAAAGAGAGGTTGAGAAGGTGGAATTTGGCAAACAGTGTTTTACATTATTACAAAGTGAAACCTCTCTTCGCAGAAGTTAGGAATTAGTAATGAAAATGTGAAATGGGACAAATTCTCAGTTGGCTGTGAGAGGCTCAGCTTCCACTCAGACCAGGCACAAACAGTTCTGTCACCATTCACTTCACAACTTCTTCAGGCAGCTCAGCAGTTCCTCTTTATCCATGTGGTATCCACTCTTTTTCCACTCATCCCTCAGCTGCTGCAGTGCTGTCCCAATTTCCTTCCCCGAGGACACCCCCATCTTCCGGAGATCGTGGCCACTGACGGGGAAAGAGGGCACAGTCCATTCCTGCATTTCTTTCAAAAGCTGTTCTTCTCCTTGGTACTTCAGGAGCTCAAAGATCTTGGAATTGGTGTTAGCTTCCCTAGACTAGGAGAAAAAAAGGAAAAAAGAGAGGATTCAGTATGAAACAGCAGAAACAGCTCCAAGAGTGCTCAGCCTTGTGCTATTCCCACTACTCGTTAGGCATGATCTTGGACAAGCTGGGACTGTGGAAGCAAGGATCTCTCCTGCCTCATACGAGTTAAAACTGAGTCCTGCATGCTCAGGGAGATCCTTGGACACTCCCTGAATCCCAGGTAATAGCTGTAATCCTTATCCAGCACCTTTCCTGTGGGAGACAAGCCTGGCCCTGGGGACTGGTTCTTGCCCTCAGTATCAGGTGCTGCTCTGGAAGTGCAGAATTCACCTGGAAATGACCCCACTGTGCTGTGGAAGAACATCTCAGGTTCCCCAAGGAACAGGGGGCCTTGGGAAGAACATCAGGAATTGCACTGATTTTCCATTCACAATTCAGAATTTCACAAAGGGCCAAATTCTCCTGGAGCTCCAAATTCTGTTTTATGTTTCAACAGGACAGCACAGCAAACTGCCAGTCCCAGGTAAGGTCACAAGAAACTGAGTATGACATTTTTCAGCCTGACTGACTTTTAAATCAGTCCAAAAATTGCTCCAGAGCACAGGGTGCTCAGAGCTGCTAAAACACTGTAGGTTTGTTTTTTCAGAAATGTCTTAAAATGAATTCAGTTCACTGTGAAGCCCCAAATGAAGCAATCTGAACTACACTCACATCCATCAGGAAGTCCTGGTATGGTCTAAGTGGTTCTGGCCCCTGGGCTTTGGTTAACTCCTGCCTGTGCTTCACCAAGAAAAGGCCAAGGTTTTTTTCTTCCTTGGAGATTTTCAGCCTCAGGTCCAGGTTTGTGACATCATCCTTCCCCTTGAACAAGGATGTCAGGACAGTCATGGGTTTTGGAGACAGATTCTGGATGTTTTTAGTGACTCTGGCAAATTCCTCCAAACTCCCATTAAGTGGTAGCCCTAAAAACACACAAAAAGTGCAAGGAAGTATTAATAAGAAAGGTGGGTAGCACAGGATAAAAATAAAATTTAATTTCTGTGTAAACTCACATTTGATCTCAATTTGCCACAAAATTCTGTCTGTATAAGATACAGCAGTAGGAAATCAAACTTCATTTCACTTTACCTATATACTGGGCAATATCCAGCTCATACATAAGTTGAACCAAATGATTGACATGGTTTCCCAGAAGAATTTTTTTCAGTTCCACCCAAATCCTTTCTCCTGATATTCCAGCCAAGCCTTTGGCATTTTCTTTAATTGCTTGCAGAGTACTAGGTTCATGATCTCCAGGTTTCTCTGCAATTCTTCCATAAAATCTGCCAAATAAAACCACTGGATGTTAGATTAGAAAACTATTCCACTTACAATCATAAAATCATTTAGGTTGGAAAGGCAATATGACAACTACAACTCTTTTTACATCATTGGTATCTTTTTCCATGCTTTTGAAACTTTATACAATTTATTTATCAAGGAAAGGCAAAACCTTTTACCTGAAGTATCTCAGGATTCTTAAATAATCTTCTTGTATTCTCTCAGCTGCCTTCCCCACAAATCTGATTTTCTTGTTTTTCAAGTCTTCATAGCCATTAAAGAAATCATAGAGTGTCCCATCCAAACCTAGAAAAAAATGAAAAACCAGAATATGAATTTACAAATGTGGCTGCCACAAGGAAGCACTCTCCTTTGGAAGGGAGAAGCTGTGTGATTTGACCTGGTCTGTCAGATCATCTCATGCATTTATACAGACCTTTGACACAGAGACAGAATTCACTGGCTAAACTCAAATTCAGTGCTTCATCCACATAACTGTTTTTCCAATTTACCTAAAAACATGGAGTTGACAGTGAGATCCCTCCTCTCAGCATCCTTGTGCCAGTCTGTGGTGAACTCCACCTCTGCGTGCCGTCCATCGGTGACAACATCTATTCGGAGAGTGGTAATTTCAAAATTCTGTTCATGGAGCTGCAAATCCCACAGACATCATTACTTCAGCACAACCAAGAAATGAAATAAAATGAAATGAAATGCAAAAGCTGCTCATTTTTTTCATCCCCGTGTTTGTGTACACTGGGTGGACACATGCACAGCAATGTGTGCAGGGTTTTCATACAGAGTTGAGAAATAGGAGCTTCTGAAAATTATCTTGACATTATTTATTTTCTACAGAACCTGCAGAAATCTTCCTGCAGGAGATGGACTAAGAGCCAGGTAGAGGAAACAGAACTTGACAGGAAATCAGGAGCAGGAAACATTAGGATCACATGTGGGCAGCAGACATTTATCTTTTCTGGTGACATTTATCTATTCATGGTGCTGTGATGACACAGCAGCATGAATGGATTACAGGAATTGAAATATGATAATTACTTTAATTCTACAATGAATAATAATAAAAAAATCACTCCAGGTTTTAAAGCAGGGTCTTAATTAAACTCTTGCTGTGGTACTTTTAACAAATAAGCAGCAAATCTACTGGACATGCTGCACATCCACAGAAAGGTAGAAAAGATCCAAACAAATGCCAAACCAACCCTGGCAGTGATGGTTCCGTGTTTTTCTCCTTTGTTATTGATCAGACGAACCCCAGCTGCTGTGAACATTTCCTTCATCTCTGCTGGTGTAGCTGTGGTGGCAAAATCGATGTCTTGTGGTGTAACTCCACTCAGTAAATCCCTCACGGCCCCTCCTGCTATTCTCAGCTCATAGTTCTTCTTCTCAAACAGTTCTGGGAAAGGAAGGAGAACCAAACAGCAATAAACCCATGGCACAATGTGCCATAACTTGCCCTCTCACAAAATTAAGATTACAGATATCGGAATAAACACTCAAATATGCAGGAAGCAGTAAATAACTCACAGCTTCATGCAAAATGCACTAATTCGTGGCACAGCTGAGCACCCACAGGTATTTTCCCTGTCATTCCGATTTATTTTTCTGAAGCTTTTCTGAAAACCTAACAACTGGCAGGTCTCTAACTGATCCTGGCGACTCTGGGCTGGGGATCATCTTGAACAGTCAGGGGCTGACAAGGGGAAAGAATTGAGATTATTTACGGCAGAGAACAGTGAGCCATGAGCACAATTTTCTCCAGGAACAACAGAGCACCAAGGAATCGGCCTGCAAAGGGGAAAAGGAGCTCTGCCGTGTCCCTGGAGACGGGCTAAGAGCGGAGAAGGTTCTGGGAGCGGAAAAATGCTCGGGAGGGACTTTTTACCGGGCCTTGGAGTGACAGGGCAAGGGGGGACGGCAATAAGGGGAGGGAGGGTAGGTTTAGGAGTGAGGTGTAAGGGACTGGGATGGAAATCCTAGAGCAGATCCCTGGCAGTGCCCAAGGCCAGGCTGGACATTGGGGCTGGAGCAGCTGGGACAGTGGGAGGTGTCCCTGCCATGGCTGGGTGGCACTGGGTGGGCTTTAAGGTCCCTCCTAACCCGACCCACCCCGGGGCTGTGCTCAGGGAGGTTTTCGGGGCCTCCCCTCCCCGCACTCACCGGCCACGCTGCGCAGCCCCGGCGTGAAGAGCGCCTGGAACTGCGGCGCCTGCAGCCTCATGGCTCCGCTCCCGCCCAGCCGCCGCCGCAGCAGCCGCAGCCCGGCCCTGCGGGGCACAACCAAGAGCTCAGCCCACATCTGTGGGCACCGCCGCTCCGCCGCCCCGGCCCCGGCCCCGGCCCACTCACCCGCACAGCGGGCACCGCTCCTGGATCGGCGGCGCCGGGCGATGAGCTCAGAGCAGCGCCGGGCTCGGGGATCGGCACCGCCCCGGGGCCGGGCCTGGCTCGGGGATCCGGGATCGGCACCGCCCCGGGGCCGGGCCTGGCCCCGCTCCGCCCCCGCTCCCTCAGCGGGACCGCGCCGCCTGCGCTCAGCCGGGGGAGTTTTATGAAAAGCTCGCAGAATCACAGAATCAGAGAATCAACGGGCTGGAAGAGACCTTCCAGATCATCGGGTCCAACCCAAACACCTCAACCAAACCATGGCACCGAGTGTCTCATCCAGTCTTCATTTAAACACACCCAGGGATGGTGACTGCACCCTCCCCGGGCAGATTGCAGTACTTGATCACTTTCTGTAAAAACTTCTTCCTAATATCCAGCCTATAATTCCCTTGGCACAGCTTGAGGCTGTGACCTCTCGTTCTGCCAGGACAAAGAGCCTGAGCCCCAGCTGCCCAGAGTCACCTTTCAGGGAGGTGTGGAGAGTGATCAGGTCACCCCTGGGTCTCCTTTTCTCCAGGATAAACACCCCCAGCTCCCTCAGCCTTTCCTCACAGGGTTTGTGTTCCCAGCCCCTCACCAGCCTCGTTGTCCTCTGTGTCTCAATGTCCTTCCCAAACTGCGGAGCCCGGACCTGCACACAGCACTCAATAGAAGACATGAAAGATTCACCGTGGCTTCGTCTCGGTTTAGAGAAAAGGACTTAAAACAGGGAAAATGAGTTATAGCAGGGGGGAAATACATAATTTGGTGATGGCAAAATAACTGGGATGGAATTGATGAGTTTCTTCTCCCCGATGAGAAGGAATTCAGTAGCATTTAAATGTTTGAATCATTGCAATCACAAAGTCGTTGTTTTGGAAAAGCCCTCTAAGATCATCATGTCCAGCTGCTCCCCAAACTCACCACCAAACCCTGTCCCCAAGTGCCACATCCATACAGCTTTAAATCACCCCAGGGATGGGGATTCCTCCACTGACCCAAAACCCCATCCTGTTCTGCAAAGCAGATATCGGTGATATGAGTGATAATTGACTATTTACAGCTATTAATGTGCAGCTGATAATGTCTAAATGCAGCTGAGATCTTGCCCACGTTGAATTACACCCATTTTCACCAATTTGGCTGGAGCTTTAATTGTATCCTGAACCCGAAGGTACTTGCCCCTCCGAGCTTGTGTCACCTGCACATTTATAATTTGGATTCCAGGTTGTTAATGGTTGTTAATGAGGTCTCATCCTTCCTATAACTCCATCATACACGGTCCCACTTTCTGCAAGGTCTTCCCCTGGGCTGGATTCTGTTCCCTCTCCTGTTTGTGAGCCTGCAGTGCCACCACAGAGTCATGGAATGGGCTGGGCTGGAAGGAACCTTAAAGATCATCTTGTTCCAAATGCCTGCCATGGGCAGGGAAACCTTCCACGAGCCCCATCCAGCCCTGAGCACTTCCAGGGACATCTGCAGCTTCTCTGGGCAATGCAGAAGCTATCCAACCCTATGGATCACAGCTCAAAGCTCTCAGCACAATATTTGGAAGCTGGTTTTGCTCATTTTGGGTCACTTCCCAAAATGCTACTGGTGTCTGCATGGCTGTATGGCCAGAGCTTTGGACGGCATAAAAATATCCGGACAAAACATGCAGTTTTCCAGCAATGTCTGGATTTGATTTTCTAGGGAAAGAATAAATTGGGATATCAGCAGTGTAGCTGTAGGTTATTTGTAGTCAGTCATCACATTCCTGGTTTGGAAAAGTCATCGGAGAACTCTCAGACCGTTGCGTATAATTAACGCTCAATAAATAAAATAAACCCATTTCTGTGCTGGACCGTGCTTGTATGGAGCCTTCCACCCTGTGGTTAAATCCACAGTTCCCTTTTTCAAGGCATGCTTATCTCTCTTGTCCTCTGCCATCTCTTCTGAGGTGCCAGCCCCGTTGGTACTTGAAAGGCAGCAGTTATGAAAGAAACCCACAGGGAGAGCACCCAGAGGACGGGGAACAAACAGACCCAACTCTTCACAGGACTTTGAGATCCCCAGGTAACCTCTGGGGGTGCCTGCTGTGCTTTGGCTCTGCCTCCTGCTTGCTTTGAAGACTGCAAAGGTCCTGCTTTTTAAAGTTGGTTTATGCTGGGAAAAGCACCTGGAATCTGCTGCTGCTTTGTTGCTTGTGAGGTATTGGGACATAGCAGCTGTAAGGGAGAAAAGAATTACTTTTAGGAGGCTGTATTTCGTACTTTGGATTTCTGCTGTCCTTCTAAAAGGAATATACTCCTTGCACGAAGGGAATATCCCCTTTACCCTCCGCTTATTACTTAGAACATAATCAAAACTTTGTCCTGAAAACTTATCATATCCATTTTTTGAGGAGCATAATCCTCTTGTAGCCTTCAAGTTACCATCTTTACTTGCATACACTTATTTTGATTCTCTTTTCAGCAATTTCTCCCATGAAACAAGGTATCACTGACCGCAGTTTGTTCTCAGGGGTTGTGGTCTTACACAGCTGCAGGAATACAGCTTCCAAAAGCTGTGCTTTCAATCTTAGTCTGGCAGCAAGAAAAAGAAAAACAGCATTTTGGAAAGCAAAGCAAGAAAAATTAAACTGAAAAGAACAGGATAATAATTTAGGACTCATCTGAATTACAGTAACATTTCATATCCAGTTTCAGTTCAGTAATGTCCTGCACAGAAAATGTAAGATCTAATACATGCAAGTTTTAGTCAGAAAAAAAAAAATTAAAAAAAATAAAAATATATATCTTTAGGATCTTTTTGAAAGTATAAGGGAAATAAAAATCAGAACGCTTAACTTTTCGTGAACAAATTAAAATAAAAAATCCACAGGTAGCCAAACCCACTTTAAATAAAACCAAGGGAGAGTCAGATATTGTAGTTATGGTAATGCCCCAGAACAACACACTGACATTATTCAAGCAGATGTGAATGCTAAGCACTTGCAAAACATGAGGCTTTTAAAAGTTGGTTTTTTTTTTTAAATAATGTACTGAAGTCATTGCTTTTTCTAAGGAAGAAAAGAGTGAATGCTCTCAGCAACAAAACTAATGAAGCTTCTTTCCCAAAGCTGCTTTTTATTTTCAAGGATGTGAGGATAATGAATTTTTACTTCTAAATAGAGAGAAAAGTTATTAACGTATTTAATAGTCTCATCAGGTAAATCAAAGCAAAAGCCTGATGCCAGTAATTTGTTCAGGCATAAATGTGTGCTGTAAAGAATATTTGTCCCGTTGTCTGTGATTTGCTATGTTTTGGGAGAACCAAAATGCCTGGCCAAGATATCATTCCATAACCCAATGCAGACAAAATCAAACCCTGGCTTCCCAGGAATAATTCATCAGCAAACTCCCGAGTTTCAGCTGGCCTCGTGCACATTTGGGCTGTCAGGAAAGCAGAGAGGCACAAAATGTGAATATAGATAATGAGGGGACTTGGACATTAAAAACACACTCCACTGTAGATGATGTGTCATTTTAATGAACTCAGCACTCAGACTGCACTTTAAAAAATAGTTACTGTACAGCAGAATTATTCCAACTGTGATCAGTGGGAGTGCTTCCAGTCCCTGGGTTATTCCTGCTCATTACCATTGGAAAATATTATGTTTTCCATGTGAGCAATTGCTGTAGTGCCCCAGGGAGGTGGTGAGATTGGGCTGGGAGGGTGCATTTCTCTTCAGTAAGAACATTTTGGAAAGCTGCTGTTCTGCATGCCCATATTTATATTAGGTTATACATGAATGATTACACAGAGATTTTTTTTCTTCTGCCAGTAATTCATGAAACAATCCATAGGAAAATTCTGGGTTTAAGCATTAAAAATTATTGTTCATTTAAATTAGAAACAAACAAAGCAGTTTCTCTTATACCCAATAATTAACGGTGGAGAATTAGCCTTGAGGTGAGCAGTGACTGTGTCTTTAGAGAGCCTGATTGAAGGAACAACAAGAAAGTAAATCCCAGTAAGCAGCTATTTTATATGGAATGGGAGCTAAAAATACAGTTATTTCTGTTCTTGGAGGAAATGTGACTCTCCCCAAAGCCAGTCTACACAAACCTGACTCACTTTCCATGGAGAAATGCTCTAATTCCATGGATGTTCTGAACATCCCTACACGAAGGTTTGAAACCAGCAGCTTTCCAGAGAGGGCTGGCAAAGGGAGCAAGATGAAACGTGCTCGGTGGTACCTATATTAAATTTAGCCCCCACAAGAAGCATTTTCCTGCAAGAAAAGAAGAGTCTATCCCTGCAAGGCAGCGGTTTCACTCCTGTGATCGTGGGGACAGATCACAATGCATGGTTTGGGTGTTTAACCCTTGGGTTTGTGCTCATTTTTAGCTCCTGTGACACGGTGACAGGGCACGTGTGCTGATTCCTGGCTGTGCCCATCCATCACCCAGAGCTGATGGCCAGTGGGATGCGAGTTTTCCTGCTCCTCCTTTGGACAGCAAACACACCTCAGGGTGCAGGAGGTGAGGAGTTTCCAGCTGCTGGGGTGGAGCTCTGGTGGGTGCCTAAGGTCTCTCTCTGTGCTGGGCACGGTTCTACACGTGGATAAAGCAGTCCCTGGCATGCCTTGGGCCCAGGATGAGGGGTGACCATTGCTGTCCTGCTTCCTGGGACTGGTCCCTGTCCCAGATTGTTCCCAGCTGGTGCCTGGTTTGCTGTGGGAGGAAAGAATCTCGAGTCATGGAGACACAACTTGTGTTGGGGTTTTCTGAGCCTTTATGGGGCAGTTTTCCTGCTGCAATGTGTGTGCTTGCAAACTGAACTCCTGGGCATCAAAGGCTGGAGTCACAGGAGAAGAGAATCATGGAATCCCAGAACCATTTGGGTTGGGAGGGACCTTAAAGCCCATCCAGTTCCACCCCTGCCATGGGCAGGGACGCCTTCCACCAGACCAGGGTGCTCAGAGTCACACCCAGCCTGGCCTGGGACACTCCCGGGGTGCTGATGCCTTGCATTTGGCAAATGAGGGAGGGCAGGCTCTGAAGAACTGGAGGGGAGCAGATTGATTATTTCACTGCCCTGCTATTTATATGCTAACATTTCCCCCAGCATGAGATCCTCATTTCCATGGGAGCTCCAGGAATCCTTCTTGCCCTGTCATTTTAAATTATCGTTCCCATCCTTCTATGTTTTCTTCCATTTGTGCTTAATTCCTCTGTTCATCATTTTGGTTCTACTCTCACATGCAACTTCTTGTGGCTGTCAACCTTCCCTTTGAAAGCCTCCCACGTTGCCCTCTCCTGCAAGCTGATGTGGGTGAGAATTGTTCATGCAGCTGATCACTCCATCAGCCCTGTTTCTTACATGTCTCTGTGACAATGAGGACCAAGATGAAAACTCTGAACCTAATTATCAAGCCAAATGTAATACAGCATAGTAATTTTCAAGTTAAATCTGTTGTAAAAATTTCATTTTTTAGGCTAAGCTTTAATAAACTCTTATTTGATGGGATTCTGGTAATTTAAAGTTTTTTTTTGGTCAAATATCAGAGATACTTTACAAGGAGCTGTTGAAAGAATATAATATTGAAATGAAATTATTTGCTTGTATTGCTCACTGCTTGCAAACAGGTATTGTACTCTAAACAATTCACTGGATTGGACATTCATGGATATTTCTGTTTTCTCCCTTCCAGTTCAGGTTTTGCCACCTGTTAACTTCACCCTCAGTGTCTCTGCATTAGCACAAGTGCTGTTACACTGGGAACCAAACCCTGCTCAGGAGCAAAACAACTCCACCATCAGATACGATGTGAAAATCCTGAGCCCTGTGCCAGAAGAGGTGAGAGAAGAAAATAAATCAAGGATCCTCAGAAGGCTAAATCCCTGCTATTCTCTTTTATCTAAACACATGCTTTGGGAACTGGAATTCCCTCTCAGCCACAGACAGAGCTCTGCTGAGCCTTGGGAACTGCAGTTTTCATCCTGAGGGGAGGATGGCTCCTGGCTTTAAGTACTGGCTCCCCGTTCAGCTCAGCTCACTGAACTCACCCCAATGTCTGGCCCAGTCTTGGCAGGTCCCTTATTTTCCCTCCCATCCCCTGGGGTGTTGATTTGGTGTTTTTTATTTCAAGTATGACACCAAGAGGACTCACAGTGTCCGAACAGCAGCGCTTCACAACGGCTTCTCGGCTCGCGTGCGGACCTTGCTCCTCCAGGAGAACCTTCAGCTGAGCAGTGACTGGGTGGAGAGAAACCTCCCACCTCTGCCAGGTGAGAAAACCCAGGGAAGGGCTGGATTTTGTGTTCTGTCCCAATCTATGGACTAAACATTAAAAGGTGATGGGTTTAGTTCTTTAAAATAGAAATACAGCATTTTCCACTCTACCTGCTATGAAAGGATTTAGTCCAAACCTTTCTCTACTGCAGTGGAGCCTGGGGTACATTCTGGAGGTGCAAAATGTCAATAACACCTATAAAATTTTCTAACAACGCCCTGCTAAGGCTGAGTTAACCTAGGGTGGTGCACCTGAGGAGGTTGTTGCCTTGTTCCACATGAAATACACGGTGCTGTGTGGCACAGCTTTATTCACTCTGCTTGGGAATCCTCAGCCTTCCCAACCCACAGGCCTGTGTGCTCAGGAGGAGACCTGGATGCCTTGGGAATCTTCATCCTTCCCAACCCAACAGGCCTGTGTGCTAAGGAATAGACCTGGATGCAACAAATCCAGCTATAATGACCCAAACTGGAACGAAAAAGGATGAGAATTGGATGCAGCAGGCACAGCTGTAATGGCCCAAACTGGAAGCAAAGTGTTTTAGCAACAGGAAGTTGTTATGATTTTTGCAGTGAGGTTTTCTTTCTGCTCTGTAATCCCTTTCCTCTCCAGGTGCTGCAGAGACCTCTGTCACCAACCTGTCCTGTGTCACTCATGTCACCATCCCTGGCAATGTCTCTCTCCGTTGCACTTGGCTCCCTGGCCAAGGGGCACCAGAAGACACCAAATACTTTCTGTTTTACAGGTTGGTGTTTGTTCCTTTTCCAGCCAGCAGTGAATTTCTTTAAGAGCACCCTGTCTCACCAGCATTTTAATTTAGGTATGAGACACACACTGAGGAATGTCCCGCTTACACCAAAGACAAGTGGAACAGGAATGCTGAATGCAGCTTTTCAAGTACTCAGATTGAACCTGGCGAGATCGACAGCCTCATTGTCATTCACATTAATGGCTCCAGCAAACGTGCTGCAATCAAGCCTTTTCAGCAGTTATTTAACCAAAATGCCATCGGTGAGTAGGAATACATTAAAAAAATACATCAAAAATACCTAGCAGGATTGTCAAAATGTGAGGAAATTCTCTTGGATTGAGTGGTTCTCGATGCAGGTGAAAAGATGTGTTGATTTTGTACAGTCATCTTAAGCAAATTAGAAGAAATTACTGTATTGTTTTAGCTAAATTGGATTTTAATCATCTATTTTAAATTACAGAATGGCAAGACTAAAAGCTAGTAAAAGCAATTAGTATTCTGTTTGTTAGCCAAAGCGTTATTCCCAATATTAATTTTCAGTTGATTTAGTCAATATAGCTTAAAACACAGTTTTTATTGCCCTTAATTTTTCAGCCTTTCTTTAAATGGAATAAGACACGTGGTGTTCAAGATAACCCTGTCCTGTGAAGGAAGGCATTAGTGTGGAATAAAAGAGAATATCAGCCATGATTGTCTATCATCTTTCATCCACACAAATAATTTACTTTCCCTCATTAGTTCCATGCCTTTTTCTGTTTTGGTAAACAGATAACAGTTCTCTTTTTCATGACTTCACTAAGAGAAAAAATCACATATTTTCTTCTTAAAAATCATCCCCATAACATTAGCTGAATTCCTTTGATTTTCTTCCATTTTTCAATAACTTTCCTGGCTACATCTGCATTTTCTTTTTCCTGGAAATGAAGTTTTCCTAACTGTTCTATCATTAATTTAATACTTCTGTGGAAATTGATTTAATAAATTCCTCTTTCCCCAGTAATCTAATTTTCCAAAACTTTCAAGTGCATTTTCCAAACTGTTTTCCTATAACTATTACCAGCAATGTAGTTGTTCCTCCTAAATCCTTATCTTTTCAGTCCAAAAAGGGAAATAAATTCAATAATTATAGGTCTTACTTGGAAACATTATCAGGTTATAAAATGCTCCAGTTTTTAGTATTTAAACTTGCCTCTATAAATAACTCACTGGTATGGTTTTCTTTTTGCAGAGAAAGTGAATATTCCCAGAAATATCAGCGTATCCCTGGAGCAAAATGATCTCCTGGCCACGTGGGAGAAGCCAATTTCTCCTTTCCATGAGGAATGTTTTGAATATGAGTTTTATCTCATCAACCTGAAGTCAGGTAACAAGCAGGTAATTGCTCCTCCAGCATCCAAGATTATCCAACATTCCTGTCCTCTACAGCTGGAATTTGCCTTCCCCTTTTCCTCAATGCCTTTTATACCTGCAACAAACCATCCCCAAGGAACCTGGGAAAGCAGGACAAAATTGGATTTATTCAGTTTATGCATCTGGGTTCAGGACAGTTTTTACCATCTTGAAAATGCTGTGTTGAGAATCTGGAGGAAGAATGGAAAAACGAGGCATTTTTCAGGAATTTTCCCTGGAATGTGGGTGTGTTAGGAGAAGTTACACCTAGAAAAATGAAGCTCTTAACCTGCAAAGCAAGGCCAGCAGCTTGCAGTTAATAAAAACAATAGAAAGATAAATTATTTGAATTTGTTTTAAAAATTTTGCTTAAATTTAAAATTTAAACAATTTAAATTTTTTTTTTTTTTTTTAATTTCAAATTATTTAAATTTGATTGAGTCTTAATTCATCTCTAACAGCACAAATTGGTTTCCTAACAGATCCTGAAAATCTCCTCGAACAGATTCCGAGTAGGGATCGATGGCAGCAGCAGGTATTCCATAAGGATCAGGGCCAACCACAACCACATCTGTCGTGCCCAAGGATTCTGGAGTGACTGGAGTGAAATCATTTATGTTGGTAAGAATTCCCATTATTCCATTGCTGGGGAGCAAATGCAACACCCAGGAGCGTGTGCAACATCCCAGAATTTTAACAGGAAACAGGAAAAATAGGGATTTGAAGGAAAAAAATGGACTTGTTAATGCCAAGGAGATTTTAATCCATTCCATTAAAAATAAACTCCTTGCAAGGAGCATTGAGTTTAGACAGTGCTTTGTGAATATGCCCAAAAATTGCTTTAAACTCAAGGCCTTTTCTTGCATCTCTTCAGTTTTTTCAGGTGTTTCCCTGCCCTCATTATGGTGTTCATGCTGGAAATAAAAATGAGAGACCATGCCAACCATTAATTCACTGAAATTATCTCACCCCTTCAATGCTGAGGGGAAAAGGAGCATGATTTTAACATCCTTTAGCATCTTTTAGCATCCCCATGGCTGGGGAGCAAATGCTGCCTAAATCAGGAGTGTGCCCAACATCAGAGAGTTTTAATAGGAAACAGGAAAACAGGGCTTTGAATTTAACTTACTGAAATTATCTCACCCCTTAAATGTTGGGGGGAAAAAAGAAGATGATTTTAGCATCTTTGCAGCCTGATCATTTGCCCTACTCTGTTTTGTGTTTCCTGCTTGCTGAACAAGTTGGAAATAACAGTTCCTTTATCACTGCACGTTATCAGCTGTTTGTTCTTAGACATCCCCCTTCGCTCTTATCTTTGGTGTTTCTTAACTTCCTTCTTTTCACTTAAAAAATACTCTCTTACACTCTCCTGTTTACTACATTTCCCCTCTTGTATCAGGAATTCAAATTTTCAGTGTTTTGCCTCCTTTCTCCAACACATCCCCTTGGCCTCCCCACCTGGCAAACACAGAAAATTCATTCTGATGGCAAAACCAAGTTGATCTTCCCTAAAAATGTGTTTAAATCCCAACAATGTCCAAGGACAGGACCACTTAATTCAGTTTTTCTCATGGAAAGGAGTTTTTAGGGGCTTGTTGCAGTTCATTGGCACAATACAGGTTCCTGCCACTTTCTCAGCCACTTGTTTTCTCCTTTACATCAAAATAAAAGAAAATTATTGTTGAAATCAGAAATTCACTGCCATGAAAACTCTTCTTGCAGCTCTGCATTTAATTTCTTATTCACAGTTATCAAGTCTTTGAAATCTACATGTTTATTTGTGAATGCAACCACATTAAACAGCTGATGAAATATTTACAATATTTAAATCCTAAACACATTTCAAATAATCTGTACTAAAATAATACATTGAATTTTTTTTTTTTTTCTTTGAAATTCAGGGCAAAATAAACTGGAGAATTCCATAGTCTGGATTCTCACTCTGCTTTGTGTTTCCATGTCCTGCATATTGCTGTTTGTTGCTATAATATGCAAAATGTAAGTATTAGCTTATTTTTTTTATTACAATATAACCAAGGACCAGGTATTCAACAAGTGTGGGGGGATGTCACAAGCTTTTGCTTAATTCTGAGAAAAAGCTGAGTTTGCCTAAATATACAAAGCAAAAATAATGAACCTCATTAGTTATCAGTAATAACATTCAGCAAAATTGGTGAGGTAGGAGAGTTATTCAGTTTAATCTTGTACAACAACCCCATGTATTGAGTGAGGTGAATTTGTTAAAATTTGTTAAAAATCTGTTTGTCCTTATTTCTTCACTTAAAAGCATCTGAGTCAGTGATTTCCCCAGGAATCTTCATTTATCCCTGGTGAAAGCTTCTCAGAGCATCCCTCATGGCCAAAATACCCAGAGTCCTGGTGTTTGATTTGAGTACTTGAAATATTGAATTAATTTTTATTATCCAGAGGCTCTGGATGCTACACAATAAAGGCCAAAACTCCCCAAATGTGCAGTGAGGAAGCCCAGCTAGGTGGGATTTGTGTCTGTGACAGTCAGATCCTAAGTGAGGAATTAAAGAATCCATGTAATTAGGAGTTTCTCCCTGAAACATGCAGCAAGCAGCAATTACCAGTCCACAACAAACACAGCTCCCCTTAATGGAAATGCTAATTCCTTATTAATTTCTTTAGTGCCTTTTTATTTATTGCCAGCCTGATGCATCCCTGGCTGTTTTCCTCTCCCTGCTGCGTTTCTTTACCCAGTAAAGGCCTTTAAAGGAACAGGAATGTTCCAAGAGGATAACTGGCATTAACTCTGCCTGCGTGAGCTGTTCCTAGGGCAGCTGAACTGGCAGAGCTGTGTCAGGAGGGATTCTGGCAGCAGCAGCACAGAGTTTATTCCCATGTCACACACTTGTCCCCGGCTATGCAGCCTTGATGTCTTGCTAAAAATCCCCAAATTTGTCTTACATTTTTCTTTTATGGATTGACCTGGAGCTGGAAGTCCTCCCCTGCTCCAGCATCTTCTCCAGCTCTCTCCTCTCTTTGGGACAGCAGAACCAGCTCCAGTTAGCAGCAGTCACACTGCTCCATGCTTTCCTGTGGAGTTCTGCAAGCGTTTGAATATTACATTTACCCCCTTTGGAGATCCTGGAACACATACAGGGGGAGAAATAAATCCAGGGTACAATTCTACTCGACTTGGAGGTGCTGTACTAATGCATTTTATGATTTTAATCCAAATTTCAGGGAGCTTTTCCAGGTTCAGCTGCTTGCTGCTACCTTGGTTGCTTCCAGGAGTTTCTCTCCAGTATAAAATTCCCAGACACCCAAAGGCTCATTACTTTCTCTCTTTGCCAATTTCATCAAAATTTTACCTCCCTGCTACACTAAATTTCATGGAGCTGCTCACCTTATTCCACCCTTCCCTGCTGCTCCTTGCTCCTGCTCCTTCTCTAATCCCCAGCCTGCCCTGGGAGGATGGGGAAGTGTAAGAAGATGAAGCACAGGGCTGTACCTGCAGATATTAAAAAAAAGAGAAACCAAGCAGGTTTCCCAGATCTGTTTCATTAGTGCTCTCTGTTTTTACTGCTCTTGAAAATTCATGAAGTGCACTCTGCAATTCAAGCCATGGAATCGTTTCAAATTCCATGCGATTTGCGGCCATTATAAGGAATTTCATTGCAGCAAAGAGGTCTATAAATTTTTCTGTGCACTTGCAGGCATCAGGGATAAAGCCCAGCATTTGGGAGGAGTGCTGCAAGGCAAAGGGGCCCTCTGGGACCCTTAGGACAGGCTTTTCCCTTCGCTCACTTGCAGAGGCTGATGGGGTTAGAGACTTGATAAAAACCACAATTGAATGTTTGCCTGGTTTGCCCTGGAGTGAGCAGCTTCTGTACTTCCCCAGGAATATCATTTTCTCCTGGAGGTGAGCCCACAGGAGGATGGAGTCAGTAACTTGCTCTGGCATGAGGGCACTCAGTGCTGTCCACAGCCCAAAATCAGTGTGGTGATCCCCCCTGTTCTGCACCCCTCAGCAGCCCACGAGCAGCAGACACCAGCCAGCTTTGGAAAAACTCCACGGGGAATCTCAGGGGAGACACTCTGACCTAGAGTTAAAACAAACACTTCCTCAATCTCATCACAGAGCGAGGAGAGCTTGTTCTCCTGCTTGTTTCTCTTTGCTTACCTCTGCTTTTTTCATGTCACAGCCTGTGGGAAGAGTGGAAATTTCAGAAAGACACAGCTCGAAACCCAGAGACCCTGCAATGCTGATTTAGGGCACGAGGGTCCTGTGGGGTGTGTCCAAGGTCTGAAGGTCCAAGCAGTGATAATGCCTTAACCTGTGTAGACAGAGACACCTGGGATGCTTTTTGTCACAAGATCTTTAATGACACAACTCCGACTTTTCTGTAACCTCCAAAAGAGAACAGAAACATTCTGAGGGCACCACCCCAGCAACTCCTCCCTGCAAAGCAGCCCCCATGGACACACTTCTGCCTCATTTCTCATGGGCACCCTTCTTTAAGTGTTCCCCTTCCAGAAGTGATGTGTAATTTATGCTTTTTGCTGCCTCAATAAATAATTTTTATATGGCTCCATCAAAATCTTTTATTGGCAAACAGCACGACAAGGGACACGCCAAGTCCAAGTAGAACCAACTCTTGCTGGGTACTCGGCACAGCAGTGGCATAAATCAGAGCTGAAACGAGCTGCAGGTGGAATGATGTGGCCTTTTGAAAAGTGTGAGGGCTGGTGGTTGGAGCTGTGAAACCAGCAGTGCAAAGCTACCCTGGGTAAGGGCACAAAGGCCTGACCCTTAGGAGGAGAGCTGGGAGATGATGGAGATGATGCCAGATGCTGCAATAACAATATTGGCACTCATCTTCCTCCTCCTGAGCTCCAGCAGCAGCTGCTTTCCTGTCCCACCCCAGTGGTGGGGAGCAAACAGCCTGGCTCTGCTGTGTCCAGCATTTCAACAAAAAAGTGGAAATGTTTCCCCCCAAACACCTCACACCCTGTTTTTCCTGCTCATATTCCCATTTGTGGCTGCGCAGTTCCCTCACAAAGCCTCATCCCGTGCAGCAGAGGGGAGACATCCCACAGCTCGTGTCCGTGGGGTGAGCAGTGGTGTGGCCCTTCCCTTCCCCTCATCATTAGTGAAGCATCAATGTCACCTTCAAGGCAGCAGCAGCTCAGCCAGGAAGGTTTAGCTCCAAGCTGATAGACAGAAAATATTATTCCTCCTCACCAGGAGAATAGTAATAGGATAAAGGTAAACTTGACAGACCTCAGAAAGCTTCTGGAAGAAGAATAGTCCTAAGAACATAAGCACCGAACTAAGCAGACATCAGCTGTTGGAATAAATCAGTGAGACTCCATTTTCTTCATGCAGAAAGCCAATTCTTTATTCACAAAGCTCATATTGATAGGAAATATCAGAAGGCACTGTGATAAACCTAATTGTGCAGTGATGCAGTAAAACTCAGCTCATGGGGCAGTAAGGGCTACTGTGTATGTCTGTCAAATTCTCTCTCTAGATATGTTTACATTTTTCCTTTGTGGGTTCTCACGGGACAAATCTTATTGTTTACACATATGCATTAGTTTTTCACCCTCAGAATTGTGTTAAACTTCTCATTCTCCAGATAGCCTCACACGGGAACTTGCAAATTGCTTGTTAGCTGCACTTAGCAGAAATGACAGGCCAGCTTTGGCAGTTTTAGCAGAGCGAGGCCTGACTTCATAAAGCCTTTCTTTTATAATTCTTCTACTTGCCTAGGACAATCAGCTGTGGGATTGTCATGAAATAAACGGGGCAGAGGAGCAGACCTGCCCTTGCTCAGTCCCACACCCTGAACACGTCTCTGCTTCCTCCAGAACAGACCCTGGGTACCAATTCTGGGCTGAGCATTCTTCACTCAGGCCAAGTTCCCATGAAAACCTGCTGGAGACAGCGAGAGTGTTCCAGCACCTGGAATGTGAGCTCTAAGCTCTGGGATGTATCAAAGACAAGGAAAAGCTCCCTGTGCAGCGCCTGCTATCACAAAAACCCCTGTGCTGCGAGCCCAGCCAGGGCTCAGGCAGGGAAGGGGGTCTCAGGGGGTGTTAGCAGGATGAGTTATTACAGCACTGAGCAGAACCATTTGCTGTCAGCCGTCCCTGGTGCCTTCCCCTACCCGGCTCCCTCGGCACACAATTATTTGTGCTTGCTCTCCTGCCACGAGGCACTGGCAGTTTATGGCCAGAAACCAAAGCCTGAGCACGAGGCAGCTTGTCTTGGCTGTCCAAACGAGGGACATGACAGCAGAGCCCTTGGGAAGAGCAGGAGCGTGAACAGACGGATCAGAGCAATTCATTTCTCTCCAGACAGCCCGAAAAGCCTGGCCTGGCTGGGAGCGGCTGCAGAGGGAGAGGCTGGGGACAGCCTCACCCACCTCCTCCTGTCACCTGCCTGTCCCCAGGGCCCAGAGGTGCCCAGCACAGCTGCCCAGCCCCAGTGGGGACCGTTCTCCCTGGCTGGAGGGGCTGCAGAGAGCCCTGGCTGCTCCTGGGGCTGAGCACACGCTGCTGCTCCTCATCCCCCAGGAGCAGCAACCCTCTCACATCCCTCCACTTACAGGAGCCACCTTTGGAGGAAACTGTTCCCACCAATCCCAACGCCCAGCAACAAATTCCGAGACCCTTTCCCAATTGACTACGAGGTAAAATAACATTTTATTTATTTTTTTTTTTTAACTAAAATAAATACTTTTGTTTGTGTGCTGCTTTTTCCCTGTAAGGCTGAGAGCACAGAGGGTCACAGAATCATTAAATCTCAAAAAAGATCTCCAAGACCATTAAGTCCAACCCCATGCTCACTAAACCCATTGAATTTAGCAATTCCTGAGGCTGGTTTTGCCATCCTCACTGCTGTGGTAATTCTCACCTTGCTGTGTGGCTGTTTCCTTTGCCCTGGATGGGTCCCAGGCTGCTGCAGCTCTGGATCTGCCCGTATTTGCAGATGTTGTGTTTTGGGAAGGGTTAAAAATGGACAGAAGGATTAAGTGCTATTGTCGGGTGCTTTGTTGATATACACCGAATTTCAGGCACACCCGTGGCTCTGCCTTTTGTAGGGAAATGCAGTTTCTCCCCAGGCAGGCAGAGAGCTCTGCCTTGGCAGAGACTGCAGGGTGACTCCTGGAGAGCTGATTTTGTTCAGCCTAACAATCCAAAATGTTTTGCTCCTACTGTTAAGCTGGACTTAAGCCTTTCTGCGTTTGCTGTTACTTCTGATAAAAGCATTTACCTTACAGGTAAGATAAACCCCTCATTGTCTGCTCAGGGGAAGGGCTGCTCAGCAACTTGATTTTCATTTGTCCCCTTGGAACAGGGGTTTAATTTTTTGCATATTGTTCCATGGTCTGGTCAAGGAGACAGGCTTAAAAGATTATCATATAATGTTTGTTTTTAATTAAATGGTGTAAAATGCCACGACTCGGGGCATCACAGCTAGGAATATGAGAAATAACAAATATTAATGCCGTGGCTAGAAAATGTGAGCTTGCAAAGGCAGGCTCACATTCTCAGCAGCAGCACTGCCTTGTTTTCAGTCTACTCAAAGTTGGCCATGGTGGGTGACACCAGCCAGAGGATTTCTGCTGGCAGCACAGCCACAGGGCTGCTGGCACTGCTGAGTCCAGGTTCCTGCTGAGGTCACCAGGGAGAGGGAAGCTGCTTGTTGGGGACACTCAGTTCCTAAATTCGGTGTAAACAAGGGTGAGGAGATGAAAGCCCTGCACGTGGGAACCTGCTGGTCCCTGCTGTGTCACCTGCCACCCTGCAGGGCTTCCCACAGCTCAGCCACTGCTGCTGCTTCCTTCTGCAGCTCACCAGCCCTGCACTCTTGTTTGTGCAGCTCTGGCAGGGTGTGGCCCCATAAATGGGCTTTGCTGCCCTGTATTGAGAAAAATTCCCGTGCCTCAAACTGTGATCCCTCACTGAAAGAGTGGCCAGGCCCTGCAGAAGGCTCCTCAGGGAAGTGGTGGAGTCACCATCCCTGGAAGTGCTCAGAACCCGCTTGGATTTTGGATGTGGCCCTTTGTGATAGGGTTTACTGGGTGCGGTTGGACTGGATGATCTTGGAGGTCTTTTCCAGCCTTAATGATTCCATGATTCTGTGCCCCCCAGCTCCTCCTGGGCTCTTTGTCCTTGGCTGCAGAGGGGTGGCCACTGTGGTAAAATGTGGCAAATGTGGAATTTGGGGCTGCAGGGCTCGAGGGACAGAGGATGAGCAGCTCTGTGAGAGCTTCAGCCAGAGGGTGAAAATCCT